GGTAGGTAGGTAGGTACGTAGGTAGGTAGCTAGGTAGGTAGGTAGGTAGGTAGGTAGGTAGGTAGGTAGGTAGGTGGGTAGGTGGGTTGGGAGGGAGGTGAGGAGGTAGGGAGGTGTAGCTTGGTGGGTGGGTGGCAGGCAGGCAGGCAGGCAGGCAGGCAGGCAGGTAGGTAGGTAGGTGGGTAGGTAGGGAAGCGGGAGTAGAAAAGTAAGTAAGTATGTCTGTCGGTATTTGTGTTTGTGTACACACATGTAACATACGTAAACATAATGTCATATCTGTATACACATATATATATATATACACACATGTTATATGGTTATATATGCGTACAAAAATACAAACATACATGTACATTTTATGCACACATGCATACCCGTTGCATGTGACATCTGATGTCTGAACTTCTGTTTCTACTTAGGGCGCAAACTACTTAGTCAGATAGTCAAGTAGTCTATAAGTATCTACGGACCTCTAGCTCTCCGAATGTAGGAAAGTTGCAAAAGACAAATGCCAACAAGTTGTACACACATGCATAAGTAGCAATCTGTTCACAGTTCTCCTCTGCTCAAGCAAAATGCACTATCCCATAGCGTAAGGGGTGGCACGGTTGAATGTTGCATTTCTCAAAGTGTATAGCTCATGCCTCACTGTAATACTCTAAACCCTAAACCCTAAACCCAAAACTCATAATGAACCCCTAAGCCCGACCCATTCTGCGTACTCAGGCCCCTAAGCCGCAAACCTTCTTCGGCACGTCTTGGTCCAAGACGGCAAACCTTGGGATGGTTTAAGAGTTTGGGTGTGGTAAAACCTAAACCCTAAACTGTGTGGGTTCAGGGACCGAGGTCTCAGGTAGTTTGCGTTCAACCAGGGACTGGCCACATACGAAGAACTACTTTGACGTATCGCACAATCACATACTGCTTTAAGGGGGTGGCGCTGCAGATTACTCGGACGCCAAACCCTCATTCCTAGAGCGTGAATTGCTTTCCGGTTCTAGGTTTGGGGGCTGAGGAGTTTAGGGTTAGGGTATTTTTTGCTTGAAGGCCCTTTTTCCGTCCAGCATGTTCGCCGTTAAGAAAGCCCACTAGGAACAGGCAATGGAGCCGTTTAGGGTTTACAGGTTTAGGGTTTAGGGGTTTCGAGTTGTATGGGTCAGGGGCTCGGGTTCAGAACACTTCTGCAGAGTTGACAGTTCACGCTTGGGAAGTCGAGAAATTCCGGCTTCGGGCCTTCAGTATCCCAACAAAGGCGGTTTAGGGTTTAGGGTTTAGGGTTCAGGGTTTTAGGGTTTAGGGTTTAGGGTTTAGGGTTTAGGGTTTAGGGTTCTATATAAAGTGCCCAAAGCCTGCTCCTGAAGCCCAAGCCGCAACCTGTCTAGAACTAATGGAATCGGGTGCTTTCGGTTGATGCTATAAATCCTGCATTACCCATAATAAGGAATTTACCATGATTCCCAAAGTTTAGGGTCCTCAAGGTCGTGCTGGACTCATATCATCAACAGCTTGTGTTGACTCTAGTAGCATAACACACCCCCCTAAGACCTCACTCGGATGATGACGGCCCCCTAACACAATAAACCCTAAGCACCAAAACCATGGTCTAATTATTAAGGCCCCTAACGCCCGAATCCCCCATAAACCCTATGTGCCCTAAACCATAAACCTCAAAACCTTCTTCAAATCCTTCAAGCACCGATCGAAAACCGGCATAGCCTGACTTGTCGAAGGCCGAATGCCCTTAACTTCCGGGTTACAGTAAACCCTAAACCTAGTTTAAGGCTCAGAAGTCTAGGGTTGAGGAGGTTTAAGTTTAGGGTTTAGGGTTTAGGGTCCACGGCATTATGGCAGTGGAGGTTTAGCTTTCCGGGCTCTAGGCTTAGGATCGAGTGGGGCCTCTAGCTTCGCATTTGTTGATTCTTTGGAGAGCTTCTGAGATAACTGGCAACTACTGAAGGACGAAGGGTTCTAGGGTTTAGGGTTTAGGGTTTAGAGTCTAGGGTTTAGGGTCCAGGGTTTAGGGTTTGCGTGCCCGCCATACTCCTGACCACGCTACATCTCTATCTGCCCCTGCATCTGCAGGTCTCGGCCGAGTTGCACCATGATCGGGATAAATGTGAAGAACACCTTGGAGCACCCAACAAGGGAAGAGGAAGGACTCGCAGGAACGCTTGTGGTCTCACTGGAGGTGTGCCTCGCGCTTGAGAACGAACATGTACATGCATAGGAGCATCTACAAACACTCGATCATTATGAAGGCAAAACACTAACACGAACACCCGGTCTCCCACATGCACACCCCAGCATGCACAAACCGTTTGCATGAAGAGTACGTTGTTGCCGACAAGCTGAACAGTGCAAAGCAAACATTTCCACCACCCATTCAGCCAGGCATCGTTGTATCCCTGATAAAGGATGTCATTGTACAACTTCTGTCCAGAAAATCCCGAGACTGCACCTGCCAGGCAAAAGGTTTCGAAACTGCGATGGCCTTTTGCACATGAGGATGGGGCGCTGAGGTTGGAGGATGTCAGAGTTTAGGGTATCTTTGTTTAGCGCTGTACTTGGAATTTCGAACTTTCGACTTTGGGGTTTAGGCTCCAACAGAAGAAGCCTCCCAAAGCGCCGAAACTCCTCCAGAGATTGCCAGACTCTCCAATCAGACGCTCCAAAGGTGTGTAGCTCTAGCTTTCCCGTGACATCGCATTCCCTGAGCCCGAAAGACGCCATAGCCTTGGCCAGACATGAATGCTATCTCTGACATCAGGGCACGCAGGCGTCACAGAACACCGAAAATCTGAAACTCGGATGATCTCAGATGCCCCTCTTGCGAAATCCTGCCTAGGAAGTACTGCGGCAGCACGCAGACAAAGTTCTTGTAGAACCTCCAGTGGTCAAGCGCCAGGTCCTTTCCTCTGGTGCCTCTTCGATAAGAAGCCCCTATTTCGTTCCCCTGAAGACTAAAAACACGCAACCCCGAACCAGAGCGTTCAGCCTGATGACAGTGAATTAAAAGTGGTACGTGCGTGCTGAGATTGTTTTCAGTCTGGACCACCGTTGTCCAGTGGTTGGCTTATTAACTGCAGAGTGCTTTGGGAAGTGGTCGTTGCTTGCTTGCTCGCTTGCTATCTTGCTCGCTCGCTCGCTCGCTTGCGCACTTCGTCTTGCAAAGATGTGCACAGAGAAATCAGCCACCCTAAACCCTAAACCCTAAACCCTAAACCCCTAAAGCCCTAAACCCTATATCTCAACATGCCGAGGCTCATTCGCTGAAGAGAGTGAAGATTTGGGGTCAGCGGCTGTGGGCTTTGGACTTGGGACTGCGTATAGGGCTTGAGAGCTCTGGTGATTTCGGAATCCGATCTTTTGTGAGGAACTGGATGCTTTGCAAAAGGAAAAGGAAGGTATTCCTCTAATATGTATGCATGCATGCATGGATGGATAGATGGATGGATGGATGTATGCAGGTATGTAGGTATGTATATATGTATGTAGGTATACGCACACACATACAAAGGTTGTATAGGCGAAATCTATCTAACAAGGATCAGGTCATATGGTTGGCTACACTCTCTTCTAGGCTCATCGATCTTGGCGGCCGGAACCCGTTGGACGGACTTCGAGCTGTGCTTATACAGTTGTTGCAGGGGTGGGCCGAGGGCTTAAATTCCAGGATCTGGGCGGTTCGATTTGACTTTGGATTTTCAGCTTCAGGTACATCTTGAATACATGCACTTGCGTGGTAAATGTTGCGATCTGGCTTTAAGGCGTGAGCTCTAACCACCGAAAGAGGGGGGTCAGGCAACTTAGTCAGACTTCGTAAAGAAGAAGGTCTCTCACCACCCAACTGAGTCCGCAGGCATGTAGTTCGCGAGGATGGCTATCCTGGTTTAAGATTTACGGGTTATAGATTCAGGTTTTGGCTTTACGAATTAAAGTTTCAGGGCTTCGGGGTCAGGGCTTAAGGATTGGGGCTTCAGGTTTCAGGCATCTGGTGTTTAAGGGGGGCTTATGGCCCTCACTGATTATCGAACTATGGCCTTTTGTGTTTCTTCTGGGGATAGGGTCTCAGAACATAGGCGGCGCGACTATGAACCTTAAATGATAGGATCCTCGTTCCAAGGACCCTAAAGAATCGAAGGGCCCTCAGCCCCCCACGCAAAGCAGAAGCTGAACTAATTAACCTATGCCTTTGGGCACCGTATTTAGGAGTCTCATACTATGAAGGAGCCCCAAGCCCTATTCTTACTATTAAGGAGACTGTAAACCCTAATTCCTGAACCCAAAACTCTGAAACGACTGGGCTTCGGGCTTTCGGGAGTACAGGGTTTGGGCGCGGCACCCTTATAACAAAAGAACCCCCGAAGCGATCCAAAATTAGAAAACTACTCAGGTCGCAAGCCAAAAGGGGATTTGGGGGGCTTAGGAGGTTTAGGGGTTTAGGGTGTGCGGGTTAAGGGGTTTAGGGGTTCAGGGGTCTAGAGGTTCAGGGTTTAGGAGCCCTTGTCCTTGATAGTGTAAACGTTCTAGTAGGGCTGTACTATGGATTCCACAGTGGATACTACCCAAGAGGGTCCATAAATACTACCCTTGTGGAATTAGGTCCCCAAAACCCAAGTAAGGATGGTCTTCTGCGATCAGTTCCATCACTGGAACCCTAAACCCTAAATCCATCATGGTAGTATACATGGACCCCCTGGGTACTGGGAATTCCCTCATGCCTGCAACACCTTGGGCAGTGACAGAGGGGTTTAGGGGTTTGGTGTTTGAGGTTCGGGGCTAGCTTCGATTTAGGGTTTAGGACGGTTTAGGGTTTAGGGTTTAGACAAAAAATAACCACAAGACTGCTGACGGACCAGAAGCACCAAACTAAATCCCGAACAAAGCCTCAACCCGAAAAGCCCCAAGCCCTACCACCCTAAAACCGCATTGCCCCAAACCTCAACCCCTAAAGCACTAAGCCCTAAAACCTAAAAGCCGTCCTTCACTATGACTAATAAGTATCATGACTACTACTATTACTATTACTGTTACTATCACCCTAAACCCTTAACCCTAAACCCATAAACCCTAAACCCTAAACCCATAAACCCTAAAGCCTAAACCCTTAAGAAGCCGTCCTTCGGTAGCACCATCGACCGTGAACCAAGAGGATGTACTGAAGGAAACGAAACTGAGAGATGCCATAGTCGCCTCAAGCAAAGCCCCCGCAGTATTTCTAGGATTTAGGGATTAGGGTTTGGGTTTAGGGTTTAGGTTTAGGGTTTAGGGTTTAGGGTGTAGGGGTAGGGGGTAGGGTTTAGGGTTTAAGGGTTAAGGGGTTAGGGAAGAGGGGCGTTTATGACAAGGGTCCAGGGGTTAGGTTGTTTCAGTGGAACCTCGGTAACAAGTCGACATAAACGTGCTTCGAACTAGGCATGCTAAGAAGATTCTATGAGTTCTCTGCAGGTCTCAGAAGACACTTCAGAAGGAGTGGTTTAGCCGAAGGGTTTTCTACTTGTTTATGGAAATTGTTGCATGTCTTTGCGAATCGTCACCTTAGGGAAACACTTTACCAACTTAGGGCTTTAGTGATTTATTGCTTGAGGGCCTCTAGAGTCTTAAGGTTGTGCTGAGAGCACTATGCTCAGTATGAAAAATGTGAGCCGCCAGATCTTTACTTACTCTGCCGTTTTTCTTGGTCGCGATGCAACTGGCATCGCTTACTGATCATAGGGTTCAGGGTTTAGGGTGTTGCTGTTCTCAGGACCTTGATACTCGGAGAACCGTCGTGTCTAAAAATGCGAAACCGTCCGCCATGATCTGCAAATGAGCCCCCGCATCCTGAATCCTTAAATCTAAGAGGCTGGGTACCGAACGACTAAGTGAGTGAGTGAGTGCGCACGTGCGTGTGTGAGTGGGTGGGTGTGTCAGTGAGTGAGTGCGTGCGTGTCTTCCGATAACGGCACCACCACCACCACCACCACCACCACCACCACCACCACGACCACCACCACCACCACCACCACCACCACCGACAGAAGCAGCAGCAGAGCAGCAGAGCAGCAGAGCAGCAGAGCAGCAGCAGCAGCAGCAGCATCATCATCGTCGCCATCCTCCGAAACACGACTAACTGCCACACTCGCGGTACATGCTGCACCGTAAGCTTTTGCTTCAATGGTAAGCTGATATAGAACTGTTGGGGTCTAAAGATAAGGGCTCATGTGTTGGAAGCTTCACGGCTTCTGCACCCTACACCCTAAACCGTATCATCCCAGGCCTGCACCGAGCAAACGACTTCGGGACCAACGCGAAACAGCCCTATGTCAAGCAGCCTGGAAGACGCCCAGACACCCTAAACCCTAAACCCCTAAGCCCTAAACCCAGAAGGCCCGAAGCACGGGAGAACCCCTGGCTCAGGCGGCAGCTGACATTAAAGGCTTGCAGGCCTGGACAAAGGCGATTACTTTGAATCTCAATACAGCGAAGCCCAGACAGTTGGAACTTGGGTTTAGGATGATGAATGCCAGGATCCCTTATACCTAAGGGTACTAGGATTATATAGTACGGCTTCTACTATAGAAATTGTGGTTTTTGGGATTTTAGGGACTCGTTTCAAGGAAGCGTGGTAAAGGTTGTGTGTGGAGTTGTTATTTAAAGGTCGGAAGAGGAAGGATGAAGGATCAAGATTTGGAGGCCTGTTTCAACGACGGGCCTAGGGATGGGTTGAAGTCCTGCTTTGAGGTGCTGGACGACAGGGAAGCAAAATGTCACAGGGATCAGTTCTGGCTGCCATTTGCATTGTGCCGCCGAAGAAACTCAAACGCAAATCGTTTTGCCCTGGAAACGAAATTCAAAGCGCCCCGCCTGTCTGTAGGTATGTATGTAACTATGTATGTATATAACTATATGTGTACACATATATGTATATCTGTATAATTAGGGGTGTGTGTGTGTATGCATACATACATATATATATATATACATATAGTATGTCATGAGAAAAGAACAGAGGGGCCTTCGAGTCCGCGGATACCGATGCCGACATCTGCACTCCTGGGATTGAACAAACTTTCAGGGCTCCACTGTTTCGAAGAAAGGGTTCAGGGTTTAGGGCTTAGGGTTCAGGATTAGGGGTTTAGTAGTTTAGGATTTAGGGGTTTAGTGTTAGGGGTTTAGGTTTAGGATTTGGGG